ATTTAGAGGTATGCCACTTCAAAATCCGATTAAGATAAGTTGAGTTATGGAGTTTTGAAAATCAGGTTTTGGACATTTTTGAATTTGTACTGATCATAACATCAGAAAAATGACAAAAAATTTTCGAAAAAATAAATTTCCAAATTTGAATGCAGTTTTTTAGAGAATTGCTCCAGAAACATTTAGAGGTATGCCACTTCAAAATCCGATTAAGAGAAGTTGAGTTATGGAGTTTTGAAAATCAGGTTTTGGACATTTTTGAATTCGTACTGTATCATAACATCAGAAAAATGACAAAAAATTTTCGAAAAAATAAATTTCCAAATTTGAATGCAGTTTTTTAGAGAATTGCTCCAGAAACATTTAGAGGTATGCCACTTCAAAATCCGATTAAAATAAGTTGAGTTATGGAGTTTTGAAAATCAGGTTTTGGGCATTTTTGAATTCGTACTGATCATAACATCAGAAAAATGACAAAAAATTTTCGAAAAAATAAATTTCCAAATTTGAATGCAGTTTTTTAGAGAATTGCTCCAGAAACATTTAGAGGTATGCCACTTCAAAATCCGATTAAGATAAGTTGCGTTATGGAGTTTTGAAAATCAGGTTTTGGAAATTTTTGAATTCGTACTGTATCATAACATCAGAAAAATGACAAAAAATTTTCGAAAAAATAAATTTCCAAATTTGAATGCAGTTTTTTAGAGAATTGCTCAAGAAACATTTAGAGGTATGCCACTTCAAAATCCGATTAAGATAAGTTGAGTTATGGAGTTTTGAAAATCAGGTTTTGGACATTTTTGAATTTGTACTGATCATAACATCAGAAAAATGACAAAAAATTTTCGAAAAAATAAATTTCCAAATTGCAGTTTTTTAGAGAATTGCTCCAGAAACATTTAGAGGTATGCCACTTCAAAATCCGATTAAGAGAAGTTGAGTTATGGAGTTTTGAACATCAGTCTTGGGACATTTTTGAGTTTCTACAACATCATAACATCAGAAAAATTACAAAAAAGTGTAAAAAAAATAAATTTTTAAATTTGAATGCAGTTTTATAGAGAATTGCTCCAGAAACATTTAGAGGTATGCCACTTCAAAATCCGATTAAGATAAGTTGAGTTATGGAGTTTTGAAAATCAGGTTTTGGACATTTTTTAATTCGTACTGTATCATAACATCAGAAAAATGACAAAAAATTTTCGAAAAAAAAAATTTCCAAATTTGAATGCAGTTTTTTAGAGAATTGCTCCAGAAACATTTAGAGGTATGCCACTTCAAAATCCAATTAAAATAAGTTGAGTTATGGAGTTTTGAAAATCAGGTTTTGGGCATTTTTGAATTCGTACTGTATCATAACATCAGAAAAATGACAAAAAATTTTCGAAAAAATAAATTTCCAAATTTGAATGCAGTTTTTTAGAGAATTGCTCCAGAAACATTTAGAGGTATGCCACTTCAAAATCCGATTAAGATAAGTTGAGTTATGGAGTTTTGAAAATCAGGTTTTGGACATTTTTGAATTCGTACTGTATCATAACATCAGAAAAATGACAAAAAATTTTCGAAAAAATAAATTTCCAAATTTGAATGCAGTTTTTTAGAGAATTGCTCAAGAAACATTTAGAGGTATGCCACTTCAAAATCCGATTAAAATAAGTTGAGTTATGGAGTTTTGAAAATCAGGTTTTGGGCATTTTTGAATTCGTACTGATCATAACATCAGAAAAATGACAAAAAATTTTCGAAAAAATAAATTTCCAAATTTGAATGCAGTTTTTTAGAGAATTGCTCCAGAAACATTTAGAGGTATGCCACTTCAAAATCCGATTAAGAGAAGTTGAGTTATGGAGTTTTGAAAATCAGGTTTTGGACATTTTTGAATTCGTACTGTATCATAACATCAGAAAAATGACAAAAAATTTTCGAAAAAATAAATTTCCAAATTTGAATGCAGTTTTTTAGAGAATTGCTCCAGAAACATTTAGAGGTATGCCACTTCAAAATCCGATTAAGATAAGTTGAGTTATGGAGTTTTGAAAATCAGGTTTTGGACATTTTTGAATTCGTACTGTATCATAACATCAGAAAAATGACAAAAAATTTTCGAAAAAATAAATTTCCAAATTTGAATGCAGTTTTTTAGAGAATTGCTCAAGAAACATTTAGAGGTATGCCACTTCAAAATCCGATTAAAATAAGTTGAGTTATGGAGTTTTGAAAATCAGGTTTTGGGCATTTTTGAATTCGTACTGATCATAACATCAGAAAAATGACAAAAAATTTTCGAAAAAATAAATTTCCAAATTTGAATGCAGTTTTTTAGAGAATTGCTCCAGAAACATTTAGAGGTATGCCACTTCAAAATCCGATTAAGATAAGTTGCGTTATGGAGTTTTGAAAATCAGGTTTTGGAAATTTTTGAATTCGTACTGTATCATAACATCAGAAAAATGACAAAAAATTTTCGAAATAATAAATTTCCAAATTTGAATGCAGTTTTTTAGAGAATTGCTCAAGAAACATTTAGAGGTATGCCACTTCAAAATCCGATTAAGATAAGTTGAGTTATGGAGTTTTGAAAATCAGGTTTTGGACATTTTTGAATTTGTACTGATCATAACATCAGAAAAATGACAAAAAATTTTCGAAAAAATAAATTTCCAAATTTGAATGCAGTTTTTTAGAGAATTGCTCCAGAAACATTTAGAGGTATGCCACTTCAAAATCCGATTAAGAGAAGTTGAGTTATGGAGTTTTGAAAATCAGGTTTTGGACATTTTTGAATTCGTACTGTATCATAACATCAGAAAAATGACAAAAAATTTTCGAAAAAATAAATTTCCAAATTTGAATGCAGTTTTTTAGAGAATTGCTCCAGAAACATTTAGAGGTATGCCACTTCAAAATCCGATTAAAATAAGTTGAGTTATGGAGTTTTGAAAATCAGGTTTTGGGCATTTTTGAATTCGTACTGATCATAACATCAGAAAAATGACAAAAAATTTTCGAAAAAATAAATTTCCAAATTTGAATGCAGTTTTTTAGAGAATTGCTCCAGAAACATTTAGAGGTATGCCACTTCAAAATCCGATTAAGATAAGTTGCGTTATGGAGTTTTGAAAATCAGGTTTTGGAAATTTTTGAATTCGTACTGTATCATAACATCAGAAAAATGACAAAAAATTTTCGAAAAAATAAATTTCCAAATTTGAATGCAGTTTTTTAGAGAATTGCTCAAGAAACATTTAGAGGTATGCCACTTCAAAATCCGATTAAGATAAGTTGAGTTATGGAGTTTTGAAAATCAGGTTTTGGACATTTTTGAATTTGTACTGATCATAACATCAGAAAAATTACAAAAAATTTTCGAAAAAATAAATTTCCAAATTGCAGTTTTTTAGAGAATTGCTCCAGAAACATTTAGAGGTATGCCACTTCAAAATCCGATTAAGAGAAGTTGAGTTATGGAGTTTTGAACATCAGTCTTGGGACATTTTTGAGTTTCTACAACATCATAACATCAGAAAAATTACAAAAAAGTGTAAAAAAAATAAATTTTTAAATTTGAATGCAGTTTTATAGAGAATTGCTCCAGAAACATTTAGAGGTATGCCACTTCAAAATCCGATTAAGAGAAGTTGAGTTATGGAGTTTTGAACATCAGTCTTGGGACATTTTTGAGTTTCTACAACATCATAACATCAGAAAAATTACAAAAAAGTGTAAAAAAAATAAATTTTTAAATTTGAATGCAGTTTTATAGAGAATTGCTCCAGAAACATTTAGAGGTATGCCACTTCAAAATCCGATTAAGATAAGTTGAGTTATGGAGTTTTGAACATCAGTCTTTGGACATTTTTTGTAGTTCCTGAGATCGAGTCTAGTATACCCTTGTACTCTACGAGTAAAGGGTATAAATATTGCGCGACATCTGTCGAAGAGATAAAAACAAAACCTTCAAATTGTTCAATTGACCCGGGAGAAACTAAATAGTCCATTCCAGAATATCAAATGGATTTCGTAATTGCACTGGAATACTTAGCCACGCTTCAGTGATTTGCATATGTGTCAACAAGACATGGCCACAATACTCTGATTTTGTCGCATTATCAGTTACAAATTCTTTTTTGGAAGTCTTAACCCTTTTAGAGAATTTTCGATAATTATTAAGAGCTGCGCAATGGGTTCTACAGAATCTGGAACATACAAACGCTTGTTTGCAGATAGTTACTCAACTAGAGATTCTGCAAAACAATGTCTCACATGGTGCAAAAATAATAGCTGTTGTCATACAAAACGGCTTTTGTATACAAGAATTCACTCGTGAGCAACCTACTTACTTGATTAATGAGTTGTGCGAAAAAGTAGTTTTGTGGCGCAGGGAAAGGGAAAGGCTGCGATACAAACATAGCTAGATAGATAGTGTATGGCCATGTTCATATATGGCAAATTCGAGTCCCCACTTTACTCCCCCACCCCCACCCGCACTCCACTCCAATCAATTCAAATCCACTCGACGGTAATGACGTTGAAGTGCACTGAAAATGGGTGACAAATAGCGATAAGCGGGTGGGAATGGGTTCTCGGCGATAAGGAAAGCACTCCCACCACTTCCACAGCTTTGGGCAGTATTTCCCCTAGTTGCTGATAAGAAGCCGACTCTCTTGCGCTGCATTTCCTATTGGGCTGATCACCATCACAGTAGAACCTCAAAAACAATCCAATTCTAGTTACTAGACAGTATTGCATTTTAGTATATATTACTGATAACGATGTATATTCGTCCAGAGTGAATTGTGTAAATATATATCTTTAAGATAACACTCATTCCTCGTAGGAGAGTATCACTTTAGTTAGTCATCTTTACGACTTTACTGAATCAACCGCCTGGAGCTTGCAACTCCGATTGGGCACGCTCATTAGTTTCCGCTCTCTGAACAAATTTCCCTCGCTCGATTCTCACATTCTCCGTCTTCCCTCTCACTCTCTTCTCCCAGGGCAAGGTCTCGCATGATTCAATCAAGCAGTTGGTGCTGGAAGCCGAGCATTTGGTGCGCGACGCCCAAGAGACCGCACTGAAGACGCCAACCAAGCAGAAACATTCCATCATTAAGATCTCGTCGACGGTCAAGAAGCGCGAGGTCACTATGCCCCATCCCATCAAGCAGCGTGTGGAGGTAAGTCCCTTCGAAATCCGAAAAAAATCAAACCTATATTTGCTATTAGCAAACTGCTATTTATTCATTTTACCCCTTTTATCTGCACAATTTCTCAGTTCAAGTAATAACCTATGCATTGTTTTCTACTTCCTAATCCCGTTTTTAGGAATGGCTGGAGCACCAGCCCTCGACCCCACAGCTGCTGACCCGCAGCCACACGCACGAACTCCTGCCCAGCTGCAAGCCAGATGACTGCGAGGCCTCCGGAGAGGCATCCGAAACGGATTCAGTGCCCCAAGCGGGAGCAGGAGTGGCAGGAGGCGCACCCAATGGTGCGGGTTCGGATTCTTCGGAGGGCTTCACCGATTCCATTGCCACATGTATGCAAACGAGCACGAATTCCTATGGGAATTCCACGGAGAGGATCGGTGGATCGGCTGAGCCCATTGGCCAGCCCGTCACGCCCCTGGGCTTTGGCAGCAGCAATCAGAGCCTGAATGTAAAGATTGTGAAGCGAACGCAAACGCGTCGCAAGTCGGAGAGACCATGGTCGGTCTCGTGTCTGTCCCAGTTGACCACGGATGCAGCCCAGTTGACCACGGCCCGGATTGTGGAGAACTCTCCGCCCGGGCTGGCCAGTCACTCGATCAGTGAGAGTGCCCTGGACTCGCTTTCGCCAGGACCAAGGCCGCGGGCCGCTTCTTCCTCGGGAACGGGAAGCAATGCAGCCAAGAAGGCGGATAGCAAGGGGTCATTGAGGAGGAGGAAGGCCAGAAAGAAGCGCATTTCGGCCGCGTCGGCTGGCAGGAAATCGGATTCAGGTTCCGAACTGGGCGGAGATCTCACCCAGACACTGATGAAGTCCTGCGAGTCCATGTCCTCGCAGCAGCTGCAGGAGTTCACCAATGCCCTGCTGAGCATTCAGAAGGGCGCCGCCGTTGCTCCTCTGAGTCCCAAGGGCGAGGCCTCTGGAGGAGTACTTTCACTGGCCGAGGGCGAGGGCGAGGGAGCGGAAACCCAGCTGATGCTGCCCAAGTTCCGGGTGGGGTCCTTCACCACAGCCGGCCTATTAGCTACGGACACGAGGCTAGGCGCCTTGGCTGCCCTCTCAAACTACATGAACGAGGACGAGCAACAAGCAGGTGAGTGGTGATCCTAGAGGGGATCTCAAAGGACTGGCATTACTGCAACTGTGTTCTCTATCTATCTGTTTTCTCACACAAGCACCCAAGCCGGTCAAGACCAGGCTCAAAGGTATTGCCAAAGCACCTGCCCACTACCCACCACTGAAAACTATCCTTCTGTTCTCTGTTCGCTTAAATATTATGATTTTTTCTTTAAATATTTCCCCCCTTCCTTTCCCCATTGATTGGTATAACTTGTTAACGCGGCCTATTCTCCCCCAGAACTCAGCACCGAGGACCATCACAGCAGCATCTCGGAGACGGCTTGGGACAACTACCAAGAGAAATACAACTCGGAGAACTATTCCGAGGGCTTCGACTCCGATGCGGCCCGGCGTCTCTTGGAATTTGGCGACGACTATCGGTGAGTGTTAGCGCGAATGATGATGAGGTCGACCTTTGAGGCCGTGCCAAAAGCTATTTATAACCGCTCAAAATGCAACCCATTCCGCAGCAATTTCATCGACTCGCAGTCGGACTGCTGCAGTTCTCTGTCGGCGGCCAACAATCTGGACTCGTTCTCGCCGCCGCGCATGGACTCACTGCAGAAGCACGAGCTGAAGACCCTCCACATCAACCAGGACACAATCACCAGCAGCGTGGACCACGCCCGCCGCCAGCGCGCCCTTGAACTGCAGTACGAGCGTCGTCGCAAGACCCTGGAAGTCCGACGAAAGTCTTGCCAAGGTGAGGAACCCAAGTGTAACCAGTAACTAACAGCGTATAACAAGCATTTGTGCCCCCCAGACATGGATGAGAGCCTGATTGCTGGCTCCCAGTCGGAGCAACAGCAGCAGCAATTGCAGGTCACGCCTTCGCTGTCTGCCTCCGCCACCGCCCTGATGACCACGCCCAAGAATCAGTCGATCAGCCAGCAGATTAGCCATCGCGCTGAGTCTGTGGGACGCAAGTTGGACTTTGGCGGAATGAGCCACTCGGCCCAGTCCCTGCTGCGTCGCACCTCGGAGAGCGATACTTCGACCAGGAGGCGACGCACTGTGACGGCGGACGAGAGAAGACGCTCCTCCCGCAACCTGGAGAAGTGCATCAAGCTGATTCCAGCCACCACTTCCTCGTCGAGTGGCTCCGACTCCGAGGACGGAGAGCAGGAGATGCGATCCCTGCTGCAGCAGAGCCGCGACAGGCTGGACGACACCAGAGCCTTGAAGATCAGATGCCATCTGCTTAGACCAGAGGATTATGTGAGTTAAATTGCAGTTGCTTCTGCGAATCCCACTAATGCCATGCATATCCTAATCCCCCAACAGAACGAGATCATCAACACTTGCCGCGACAACATCCGCTGCCTGGAGGCCGTGCTGCGCGGTCCGCCCGGCACCGTGTTGTCCAACCACTGCGCTGGCCAGACAAAAGGTGAGTTCCCGCCTCCAGCAACTCCACGCAAACCATCGTCATCATCACCAGTATCAGCCGCTGTCCGCCGGCGCCGGAGGCGACGTCCAGGGACTGAGCTTCCCGGTCCCGCGGAACCATCCGGGGACTCGCGGCAGATGGCGCAAGTGGTCGAGTGCCAGTGTGCACCCATTACGCGCTTCGTGGCACGGGTGATCGAGTTCGTGCTGGACGTGGGCAATATGCTGGAGCACTTTGCGCTCTACCGATTCCTGGCGGGAACGCTGAGGTCGCTCTACGAGCTGGTAGACCGGCCCGTGGGTGGACGCCTCGGTCGGTTCTTTGTCGGATTGCGGGGACTGTTTTAAACAGACGCCGCAAAGGCCGAGCTTTAAGCATGTATTATACGGATGCCTTTGATCGCCGTACAAATAGATCTTTAAACACACTGTATACGATAGTGCATATGATGTATGATTTGAAGAAAGTTTGTTTTTGCATTTGACAAAACGCATTTCGCATCGAATTTACTTATCCTCAATTGATTATTCGCTTTCTGTTCTATTTTATTATTATTTTAAATAATACTATTTTACTTGTTCTATCCATTTTTTTCTTGCTCATTTGTTCTTTATTTTTTTGGCAATAAAATCTACACACCAAAAGCAAAACTAAAATTGTTATAATTCTCAACTTGCGTTTGTATCCGTTTGTCCTGTGAACTATTCCTAACTTAGTTTTTATTTTGGTGTTCTGTCATACCATCATCATCTCGTAATTCTTAACTTCTCGTAATGCCGCTAATGCTTGTGTGTTTGTCAAATGTATTAACAATCTTATTTAACAATCATCCGTTAACTGTCGTTCTTAGATTGCTTTGAGTTTAGTTATTGAGATCATCGTGTAGTCTAGCACTAATATCGATCCCGTTTCCGAAGCGGTAATGGTATGCTCAAGAGACAGGTGCTCTTTAAGAGATCTTGAGATTATATATTTAACGTATATTAAGAGTGAGGATTAATATCTAATTTAAATTTAATTCCTATGACATCCTATAAGGGCTATAAACTGGCAATTTTCGTTGTGTTTACAGGCATATTCCATTGGGAAAATGTATCTACACCAATTCTGTCTAATTTTACATGTAGGTTTGCGTCCGTGATAAAGTTTAGAAAGCATTGCGCTTTTCAGCCTCATTGGCTTCTTGGTAGACGTTAAACTTAGTTTTTTAAAAATTTTCCAAATTCTTTGAAGTTTTTCCGCATATCCATAAATCTGCCCCATTTTAATGAAGGGATATAGATATAGCCAGCTGCTTAATTCTGACCCCCAGCAAGAGCAAATTTATTTTTGCCCACTGACGTCACGCGCCCGCTGCGAATATTTATAAACAATACAAATATGATGACTTTGTGGAACATCAATTTATGTGCGAGGGTGAATTCTACAATATTGCTTAGATTTCAGTGTTTTGAAATCTTGACACAATGCTTCTAAAACTGCGTATGTGTTTTTTTGTTTTCGCTCCAAAACTTTTTGCTCTAAAACTGTAGCTTCAGCTTTTGACTTTGATAATGTCGTCATCGCTTTAATAGCTTTTGTTGTCTGGTTTTGAAAAATATTTTGGTTGCTCTGGGAAAAATGTGACGTCGCCATTTGAAATATAGACTTGTTATTGCTAATGCTGTTTGGCCTTTTTTGCCGCTTGAGCTCCCGACCCTAATCGTATACAATATACAATATACGTGTATGTATACGTACGGTGTTTTCAGATTGCGTGTGACGAAACCAAGTTCAAAAGTTCTGTTTCAGAACTCTCCCATTCGTATGTTTGCGTGCTAGCTGTCTTGTGTTCTTGTACACACAGAGAAAATATTAGAATAATAATATTTTAATTTGGCTGCTAGATCATAAGATGAGCTTGTTTGTGATGAGTGCGATATGTGTTGCAGTTTCGGCACTTTTCTCTGTTTAAAAAACAAATAAAGTTAAGGTAACTGTGCTAAGCGAGCACGTTGCCTCCACCTCCGCCCTCTGGCTCTCAGTTGGTTAGTTCTCGCCTCTGCTCCCCCTTTTTCGCAGCTCTCAGCTGTCTCTGCCTCTCGGCGCGACTCTCCACGTCTCTCAGTTCGCTTTCTGCGCGCGTTCCAAGCGGTTGTTCTCTGTTTCGCTGTCTGTAATTAAATTTTTACGTGCTTCCGCGAAATTGTGTGAAGTAATCCCACTAGAATCCCGCATAATTCCGCCAAAACAGCTGTGATAAAACATAACTATGCCCTCTGAAGTAACTTAGGCCCGTACAAAATCCAACTTAGAAGTGTCCATTCATAAAGTTCCCAAGTCGCGTGCTTTCTAGCCTTGCGTATAAGAGTTCCTGTTCGATATAAGAGTTTCGCGTAAATTTCAATTGTCTTCCCCACTTAAACTTACTCCAATGCAGTACTGTTCAAGTTACAGTGGGTACTCCCACAATCTCCGCATGTGTGTGCTTCAAAAACGAAATTGAAATGGTTTAAAACACAAATTGAATACGAAAATTGATTTCAAGTGGCGCATCGAACGAAAGTGGGTCACTCGGGGGTTGAAGAGAGCTTTTCCCGCCGAGCGCTGCCAGGGAAAACTCCCAAACCCAGGCCACCACAATGGGGAAAGTCAGCGTGGCCGTCCAGACGGATATATCCGAAATGCTTTCGGCCACTTCTTCCACCAACACATCGCGTTCGTCATCGGAGCAAGGTAAACACTTGGCCGCCACCCGAGCAAACACACTCCGTAGGACAGATATGGCCACCGTTGGTGTACCGAGATGATGTGATGAGGGGTAAACATAATTGGGAAACAGGTGTAAACGATGGGGCTCTTGGAGCACAGATCGCACGGAAAGATACGAGTTAAACGGGCAGAGCAGTTTCAGACACAAAGGGAAGAAGCGAGAGAAGAGTTTGGACGAGATTGTGGGGTTGGGTAAGTGGGTGACTAAGCGGGCAATTAGTGGAGAGATTAGGTTGGTTTCGAGAGAAATTTAAGCCTAGTATTGTACACTTGTTATAAGCTTGTTGGTTGGATGAAATGTGAAGATATGTTTGGGACTGCCCAATTGAAGGTGGACTTAAATCAGTTCCATAAGGAAATACCACATAATTGGTTAATGCTATCGAAAACTTCGAGGGGAAAAGGTTGACACATTTGGAAACTCAAACGCAAAGAATCTGGAAAGGGGCATCTTCATCTCTTGAGTGGTTAATGATACTTTCCAGCCCACAGATGCGCTGGCGATTGCGCTATTCTTGCCGCAATTCTCATAAAGAATCGCCAGTTGTTGCTCTTTCTGATTATACCACTCGATTCAGCCAGACTCACTGACCGACTTTGATCTTCAGCTGCCAAATCGGGCTGCAAGTGCCTACTGCTGCCACTTGGATCGCTAATTAGGGTGCTTACTGTATCGCCTCGGCGGTCCGCTCATTAACGGTAAATGCAGCACAGTGAGCACTCCTATGGTGAACACTTTTATGGTGGCACATAAAAGAGTGAAGAATGCTCCAAGTATGATTTTCTTTTGGAGCGAGTAGAGCCGGAACCGGTTGCCTCTATTACCTCATAACTTTTTTCTGCTTTTTCTGCCGTCGGTGCGCAAGTTCAAGTTCCCAGTTGTCATTTGATATATGTATCATTAATTATGGATCGCTTGCCCCATTTGTGGTTGACCTTCGTTCGATTAGAGTTAGAAACCAGATCATAGACACCAAATTGGATGGACCAACTCAAGTAGCTTCTATACGTGGTTAGCTAAGTGGTTCAATGCGTTTGCCAGAGGGCATTGAACCGCAGTAACAAGCTATTTCTATTTCCATTTGCATTTCCAATCCCATTTACATCTCTTTGGCGATTTCCGCTTGTAGATTTCCTGCTCGAAGCTCGAATCGGTAGATTTATTACTTCATTCATGCAGAACCCCGCGCACTCGAATCCATTCACATTTTCAGCTGTTTAGCATCTACGATCATTTTCGCTTCGTTCTTGCCGCTCTCTAATCAGCATTTAAAAATATCCAACGACGTTGGTTTCTATGTTTTCGTGCTAATTGTATATAATTGCCACACAAATACGCGCGAACATAATTATTCAAGATTAATTTGGCAAATATTTTGAGCTTTGCCTCAGGTCAGCCAGAGAGCATTTGCCTTGGCGTTTTGTTTAGTTTTGGCGTTTTGGCTGTTCTCGGTGCTTACCTCACCTGAACCGAAATGTGCTTTATCTATAAAGATATGCTATTGCATACAGGGTGGATGAAACCAACTAAGGGTAAGGTAACATGTGGAGCACTCCCTTTTCATACGCTTATGGCTGTTAGTCACGCCACTCCTTTGGGAGTATCCTTTTGCAGATCAAGGAAGGAATACCCAACTAAGTTGGGGTAGTCTGTGCTTTTCCTTTGGTTTGATTGACTGTTGATAGAAACATCGCACTGCAGTCGAAAGAATGAATATTTAGTTCATTACTTATTGGAAAACTTGTCTATTTTTGTGATACTTGCTCGATTAGTTCTCTCGCGAACACCGCCCACGTAAACTGATTATTCTCACATTGCGACCCACAACTGTAGCCAACGTCAACGACCTTGGCCAAGAGCCCCCCTCCCCCTTTGCGGTTTTGGCAATGTACGTCTGCTATTTGCATTTCAGCTATCGTGACGAAATGCATGGCAAAAAAAAGCACCAGGCAATTTGCATGTCAGCAAAGAAGCCTAAAAACTACGAAGCAGTGAATTAAAAATATTTGCCTGAGAGCTTCATTATAATTATTAACGATTCATGCAGTCTGCTTAGCGCAAAGAGAAAGTATTTTCCAGGCCAATAATCTCCGTCAGCCGTCCAACTTAATGGCTAATCAATTTTATGTGCAATTTTTGCACTTTTCGCTGCTGTTGCGCGGTTATCTAGCGAAGATTATTCAATTTCTGCCGGAAAACAGGTGGAGTCCGACCCCAACTCCATCCGCAATCAAAATCCGATCCAAAGTAATCTGCGAAAAGTGGCATCCACTCGCACTTGCAACGAGTTTCGATACGAGCCAGTTTTCGCATAGGCAACAAAACACTAAAGTGCGTGTGATTAAGCCTCACTGAGAAAACATTTCAGTTTTAATCGAGATGGTCTAAGATTACTATCTTTTGCATTTCATTTAGTTAGCCTCCTCAGTAGATTTGTTCCTCCCAGCCAACACCCATCTCAAACGCTCTGCTAATGCGATCGCTTTGGTTGCGCTCGAATTGCTCCAGTGGGTTGGATGTTGGATTCCCCATCCTACGCCCACTGCTGGAACACAGGGGATCCAAGTCAAGCTTCGAGCTCCGCTGCAGCTGCTCTGAAGTTCAGTCAACCAGTTTCGGTTTGGCTGCCAACAAGTTCGCATCGGTTGGGTTTATTTTTCCAGCACTCCGAGTGCGTTTTATCCTCCGCTGCCTTTTATCACTGGCGAAAATCGCAAATAAACAGGGAAAAACACCGTTTTTGGCCAGGCCCAAGGTGAAAGTCATTTGTGCAATCCTCGCATTACGCATTGCGTTTTTATTACCCAACCGGGCCACACGCACTTGTCGCCAGCTCCTCGATTTTCAAGCCCGAATTTCATACCATCGTTCCCCTGTTGTGGTGAGTCTTCTATTTAAGCACTTGTTTCCCATGAGTAATTTTGGGTATGAGCTATAGGTATCCCAAGGTCGACTACTCTTTGCTAGCTTGCTCTTTGTTTGTCTGGTTCTGCTGCCAGTCCGCCCAACGTTCTCTGGATGCAGAATCAACGCCACAAAGCCAGCATGCCACATACCAAGCGGAAATGGCAGACGGCAGGGGAAGTGCAGCAAATGCAGTGCGAATCGTTCGAGCCAAACAATTTCAATTAGAAAACATTGTTACTGGCACACAACCCACAACCGCAAAGCGATGGCAAGCATTTAACTGCTGTGGCTAGGGCCGTTTTCCTGCTCCGAGTTGTATTTGCTGACTTGATTTTCCTTTTGGCGGTCCAGAGTTTCACTTTCCGCTGCCGTTTTCCAGCGCTTAGAGAAAGGTATTCATTACCAAGGGCTCTTGGCCACCAGAGGGAATGGGAATGGGAATGGAAGTGTGCTATAAATGGAAATGAGATTGCCAGCGCCCAATTAAATTGCCTTTCTCTCGTGCACCATTTAACTCTGTTAACTGGAATCACCAGCCTCCTTCGCCTAAACGACCACATCCTCACGGTTCCCGCCTCTGATCTTCTCCCGCAGATCTGCTCGCCGCCTGGGAGGACCTACTTGGCTGGAGCGAGAATGCCTCGGCTGCCCGCAAATTGCAGCAGGAGATGAGTGCGTTGAAGAGCTCGCTGCAGCGTCTGGGGGACAAGCCCACTCCGGAGCTCCTCGACACGGAGCCGGCCATCCAAATAGCAGTGGAGGCTCTCAAGGTGAGTGTTGAATCACATCGAACCTTCTGACTGCAACAAGCTAACATCATGCCGCCCCTTCAGTTGGAGCAGACCCAACTGGCCAGCTACAGGACCAACATGCTGCGTCTCAACGCCTCCGTCCACAGCTGGCTCACCAGGCAGGAGCGCCGATTGCAGAGCGCCCTGGAGGAGCAGGAACAGGAGCAGGAGCAGCAACAGGAGTCCGAACAACTCAAGCAGCAAAAACCAGTGGAGGAGGAGAACGCTGCTGACGTCCACAAGGAACTGACGTCCAGCGGAGCAGTGGCCATCACGGTCACCGACAGCAATGGCAATCAGGTGGAGGCTCTGGCCACAGGAGAAGCCGCCACCTCCACGACAGCCTGGGATGTGCACTCGCTGATGTCCGCGGAGCAGGAGTTCCACAAGCATCTGAAGAACGAAGTGAGCGACATGTACAGTGCCTGGGATGAGGCGGATGCCAGGTGAGTTAGCCCACAATATCGCTACTAAGATCACCTCTAACCGATTGCACTTGAATCCACAGAATCAACACGCAACTGGAAGTGCTCACCAACTCGCTGATTGCCTGGAGGCAGTTGGAGTCTGGTCTGAGTGAGTTCCAATTGGCTCTGGGCCAGGACAGGGGCACCCTGAAGGGTCTTGAAGGAGCGCTGGACAAGGGACAAGCCACACCAGTGGAGCTGGCCCAGAATGTGAAACTGGTGGCCAAGCTGCTGTCCGAAAAGGTGCACGTTAGCCAGGAGCAACTTTTGGCCGTACAGCAGCACCTGGACCCCAACCACATCTACCACATCACGAAGTTTACGGCCTCGAATGGTTCGCTCTCTGACTCCGGCATCTCCGATGGAGGAGCTACTTCCGATGGCGGCCTGTCCGAGAGGGAGCGACGCTTGGGCGTTCTTCGGCGCCTGGCAAAGCAGTTGGAACTGGCTCTGGCGCCCGGAAGCGAAGCCATGCGTTCGATTGCCGCCCGCATGGAAAGTGCCGAGGCGGAGCTGAAGCACCTGCAGAACACCTGCAGGGATTTGATTGTGCGCACTGCAGCTAGCCACCAGCAGAAGCAGCAGATCCAGCTGAATCAGAGCCAGCAGCTCTCCCCGAAGGCCAATGGACAGCTGAAGAAGCAGGCCGCCAAGGGCAGGGGAGAACCGCAGTCGCCTGGCAGACGGGGTAAGGGAGCACGGAAGGCGCGTCAGGCCAAGAAGGCTGGAGAGGATCAGCAGGAGGAGGAGTTGGAGCTCAGCCCAGAACAGCAGAAGATGGTGCTGAAGCAACTCAAGACCTTGACAAGTGGCGATGGTGGCGACGACCCCTCTGACGATCCCTCCTCGCTCTTCAACCTGGAGAGCTCCGAGGAGGATGGCGAGGAAGTGGATCCTGCACAGGCCTCCAAGCGCGGGTGGGCGTGGCGTATCGCGAGGGCGGCGGTGCCCATGCAGGTGGCCCTGTTCACAATCTTCTGCGCCGCCTGCCTGATGCAACCCAACTGCTGCGACAATCTGAACAACCTGTCCATGAGCTTCACTCCGCAGCTGCGCTACATCCGTGGACCACCTCCGATCTGAGGACAGCACGCCACTAATTAAGCAGGCCGCTAATCGTTGTAGGTTACCGTTACGTTATGTTAAGGCATTTAACAGCTGTAACTAGAGTTAACCAGCGCTACCAGCGCAACCAGCCACTTAGGCAGAGCCACCAAGAGCTCGCTTTTGGCGCGCGTTTTCCGCGCTCGAGGTTTTAGAATCCCGAACAGAGCGCTCTCGTCCGCAAGGTGCGACACCCAGAGGGGCAGCCCAGTTTTATATGTCTAATTTAGGTAGCGAGCGCGAAAAGGAACGCAATTTATAGTAAGGATGTATTGTTATTTCGGTTAATTTCCTACGAGTTTAGGTTGCTGTTCGATGGAACACTGAAGATGTACTTAGGCGAGGAGCAGCCAATGCCCAGCCACGTGTAAACTGCCGCATGAAGGAACAGAGGGGCAGATCGTCCTACCCAGTAAATATTATACAACACAATGATCAATTGAGTGGCGTTTTTGTGTGCTTTTTTGTTTGAAAAACACTAAAGTGCCTACAAATGCGAACTGTGAACGAGGAGCTATCAGCAGATGACAAAGGATCCGGCGCGGAGTCCGAACGAGAGTAATGGGTATCAATGGGTATCAAAAGGCACCGAAGCAAACAGAAGCTAAGAGCCAACAGCACTAAGGAGCTACCAACGGAGCTCACCAACAGAGGAACAGCGATGGAGAACCAGAGTTTATATTTTTATACGCAACGCAACTATACACAATCAGTGCGGAGACAACGAATCTTCAGCCCTTACACATCATACCTTTTACGTCTATTATATTAATAGGATAAACCTTACACTTATTTGCAAGAAAAAAATTGATAAAAAAAACGAGAAACTATCTCTTAGGTTCGTGTTTGGAATTCCTAGACTTAGTTTATGGTTTACTCACTCCTGGCAGATGATCATTGTAATAACTTATAAGGTTTATATACTTTGTGCGTTTTCAAAACTTTCACTTGGCATTACAAATACAAAACAGAAAATATCATTTATATACACAAAAACATTAAAGAAAAAGTATTAAAAAGAAAATCGATTTGGCTTCAATTGAATTTTTGTAGCTTGCTTCTGGGCGCACACATTTGGCTGAAAATAGGCAGCAAGCTTTTGAGCTCACTTAAGCTACAGATCTTTCAAATAAATAGCAACCTGGACGTGAAATATGTGGAATCTAGTTTGCAGATAGTTTACTTCGTTCTTGCCAAAATTATCAGCTTAAAATGGTCGGGGAAAATCAAGTGTGAATAAAAATAATGCTCTAGGAACCGGCGGAAAACGGCGACGAATAGGGGCACTAGCGGGACCACCTGGAGGCCACTGGAAGGAGAGGGACTAGAGCAGGAGTTTTCGCCATGGCGCTGGTGGACGAAGGCAACTACGCCTATGTGAAGCAGGTGGCTCTGGACTGGCGGGAGCTGGTGCGGGAGAAGCGCCAGAGCAATCTCTTTTCGCCCGTGCTGAGCATGCAGGCGGTTGAGTCCGAACAGCGGATGGCGGACACAAGGTCGCGGACCCAGTCGATGATTCCGGCCGAGAGGCGGGAGTCCAGCTTCTACCGGCACCGCTTCTCGCAGCCGGCCAAGCCCGTGGAGATTGAGTGCCAGGAGGCCTCCTCCATGGAGCCGGACCGCATTCGGGTCAGCGGGAACGTTCTGCTGTACATCTACCAACCGATCATAGTTTCGAAAACCGTGATGGACTCCATTCAAGCCTGGTCGCCCAGTGACATGAGCCTAGTGTCGTCCCAACTGGTGAAGCCTATCAGAGAAGAGAAAGCAGCGGCTAAGGTGGAACGCAATCCAACACCCGAGCCCAAGTCGCCATAGCCATGGAATCCGGTGTTTCCTCTATACCATCCTAAACGTTTAGCACTTGTGAGCAATAAAGCAAATGTAAATCTGGCCATTTAAGCGGAAACGTAATGCTTATTTTGGACCCCTGTTTGGATTTCTCTCTAGAAATGTCCTGTCTACTCTCGTCTAAACTCGATATCCTGTTTGCCTTCCATCGAACATCCTCAATTGTGGGACGTCCGTTGACGTTGATGGATCTGCGCCAAATGAAACGCACTGCAAAGCTGACCTGAACGAGGGAACACAACCTACATGCCTCTCGACGACAAAGGTGAAACCCCAACCAGGGCTTCCTTCAAAAGTTTCGCTTATGTAGCGCCCAGAACCAATGAAAATGGAGTCAAGTACATAAATCGAACTTCCCCTCTTCCGAGAGACGCGGTTTTCTCTGTCGCACACACGGGCAGCCATATCCATGCATCCCTTTCCTTTCCATCAAGTTTTCTTGCTATCTCTGTCTACTGTTAAGTGCTTAGCATGGACACGAACCACTGTTAAGCCTTTGGGACGCCGTAAAGAGAAGTAATCAATAGCAATTATTATAAATTTACTAGTTACTACCTTGTAAATGAAGTCTAGACTGCGTAGATCATGTAATAAATTAAATTAAAGGATTGCATGTTGAGCTCTGTTTATAAGTGTGACTCGTTGTAAACTCTCTTTTAATGATTTATGGAGATAAATTGAACTTAAATCCAAGTGACCATTCATTCACCTTCAATTTTCATCCAGACTATCCTTAACTGGCCTCAAATAAAACTCGAAGCATGTCAAGTGCGCGAACAATAAAAACATAATTTTGTTTACGCCTCCAGGTTAATCCTTCCCATATTGTGCGAAAAGTCACCACCACCAGAATGAAAAGCCCAAGAACAGAGGGCCGTACAAATTTTATAATATGCTTACTTACCAGCGAGCAAAATGGGTGTGGTTGGGTCCTCGACATCCTTGCACGCTTCTCGATTCGCGTGTCACAGCGGAAGTCAACTGAAAATTAAATTTACATAGTTTTAGAAAAAATAAGATGGTGATGGTTGAATAGAAAGTCGCCCTTTAAAGGGGAAATGAGACAATTTGTTTTCAAATGGTAGTTTCAAAAGAGAGATCCATAATTAAAACTAAGTTAAAGTTCTGAGAGCGCCCTACACTGTTCCATTTCGTATCCAACTAATGCCTTTTCTTAGCAATGCTTTTCATTTGAGGTTGTTTTTGATTTGGATTATGGAAATGAGTTGGCCTGGCTGATTGGGAATTGTCAATAGGCAGCACAGGAAGTTGACCGAAGGCAGGCAGGGCGACACACTCCCCTCAACCCTTAAGCTATTCATTAAACTTTGTGATTAAACTGACCGCAGCACGAGGGGGTGGAAAGAGGAGGTTGAAGGCCCTTTCACCCCTGGACCTGCAGCAGTTTAGTGAAGTGAAGTGAGGAAAGTGAGCTACGCTGACAGGCTCATTAAATGCCGCATTCACTCGTCCTGTGACTCCCAACTGCCATCCTCCTCTGCTGGCCACGAGCCAAAGTCAACACATCAAACTGAACACTCCACCCCATTGGGCTAATTTTCCCAGCTCAGCCTTTAAATTCTCGTTTTTCTGGAATAGAAGTGAAGAAAACACACTAGAAGCACAAATGGCTGAGGCCGTATAAATAATACAAGGAAAATTGTGGAAAATTGCCGTAACAATTTATGTTGACATTATCTCGAGACACATTTTTCTGTCTCGCTCGGCACTTTTCCCTGTTGTGGATGATTAATTACCGCAAAAAGAAAAATATTTGAATATGAAAAACGATGCTGCGATACGCTGGGCGGGAAACTTTTCCTTATTGCTCCCCAGTCGCCGATAAACAGGAAGGACTTTAATGAACTAGGCATTTCATCATCTTCCTGAGGAAAAAGAGATTTGGAGAAACAAATTCGTTACGAATCTGAGCCAGGTGATGTTTTTATTTTACATCAAAGCTGTTCGCTTAAAATAACACTGTCTTTTGGGATAATAACTTTGGCACTTGCCAACTTTTAGATCGTTCCATTTGGGGTCCTTAAATATATCAGCTTTAAGAACAGCGTTGCTGTGTACTTTGAAATTCTGAAACAGCATTAACCCTTAGAAGTGCTGCTCTCCACCTTCGACCTGCTGGAGGATTCACCTTCTTGTGGGCTGCCAATAAAATTCGATTTTTGTTCGCCATCCTGACCCGAAAGAGGCCAAGAAAAGGTCGTGCCATTAAATGTAACTGCGCTGTAATTTGCATAATTTTCTATTCATTACATAATTCTGTCAATTTCCAATACATTATAATTTGTTAGAGAACACAGGGGAACTGAATACAGCCCAGGAAAATATGCAAAACAGCAGCCGATGAAAAAATGGAACAAATTATATGGAGGGCATTTCTCGGAGCTCATTCTATCTCTCTTTTGTTGTTGTTGTCGTTCCTCTTACTTGTAATTTGTTTTCGGCTTAAAAAGATTATTTTATGGTGAAAACAACCCGAGGCGAAGTTGCTCAATTTTTTATGCGCAATATGCCGGAATTGAAAGGACGAAAACAGGTCACCAGTGGGTAGAGAAATTAACACATTCGGCAGGAGATTTTTCCGAGATACAGTAAAAGCGGGAAGAAATGGCCAAAGATTTGAAACCGCAAACTTATCTAATCCTCAGCCGGAACCAATGCGAAAATCACGTAGCCATTATAAATGCAAATCAAGTGTCAATATTGCACATTTGAATATTTTCGCCACAAGGATTTTCATTTGCCAGGCGAATGCGAATTTTCCGTGTTTTCTTTTCCCTCGCTTTGCAAATCAGCAAAGCAAACATCTGAGACAAAGAGTGGAAGGCTCGGTGCGAAATCAATTGGAATCCCAAATGTCAACTGAGTGAATTCATCGGGAGTTTCCAGGACATTTGCCAAACATCTGGCCAGGCATACTGATGAGTGCCACCAGATAATGATGGGTTGCCAGATGAAGGGCTCTTAGTTTGTGAGATTTGGGCTAGAACAGCCATCAAATCAGACCAAACCCTACTTTGTATGACAATTTCCCCTCCTTACATGTCTGTTTTTGATAAAGTTCCTATAATCTTTAATTTTTGCCCACTTTATTCGGCTATAAGCGCGTTTCGAAAAGTGTGAGCTTGGCAGTACTACGTGCCAAGTAGCTGCAAACTTTAGTTTCCTGTTGGCCTCCACCCACTTGGCGCTACCTGAAAAACCTTGCTAATTAGCATTTTAAGCTGGGCAAACTTCCAGCCCCGAAACTTTTCGCCGGAGGAGCCCCGTCATGGATAGCTGCCCCTCCTTGTTCCATCCGCATTGGAATCCCCCTGCCTTTCGAGTTAAATAAGTTGTCATCGCAATGTGACCTCGGCGCGGAGGCGCCCTGTCCCGCGGAAATTACAAATATTTGATGTCCGTAACATGAGATTTAATATTTCCCAACCTCAGCTCGAGTCGAACGTCCCCCGGCCAGAAATTTGCATTCGTGACCGAAGACAATGCCGAAAAGTGGGGCAGGGGTAAATGCAGCCAGACACGCGAGTCACGCGAATTAAGCAAAATAAGAAGGAGCAGATATGAGCCTGAGATATTTGAAAAAGGTTTTCCCCACCAGCTCATAATGCTGTCATATGTCTGCCCGATGGGTTTTATTGGGGAGCCTACGTTCGCTGACATCTCCACTTCCCTGCTTGTTCAGTGTGGCAGTTATCACGAGTGCGAGTGTTGTTTTGTTTTCTCTGACTCGTCGTGTGAGCATCTCGGCTGCTAATGGAAGACAAACATTTTATGGCCAGCTGACCTTCTGTACCCGCTGGAAAGCGCCTTCCCCCGACCGCCTCGCGCTCCTCCTGCTCCGATTACGCATTCGCATTCATTCAATTACATTTTTGCGCACACTCAGCACTAAAGGGACCGCTCATAAAGCGTCAAAATTTCGGGCAAATGAGCGGCTCTGCCATCTGATGGAAATCCTCCCACTTTGTTGTCCTTCATTAGAAACTGCTCCCCGGGGCATTCGATTCGTCCAAGTCTGCGCCCACACACATGACTTCCAGGCCGAGTGCGAGTGCGAGGACTCCGAGGGACATGCCGTGTCAACGCCATCAAAGTGTCCGGCCTCTATTAAAACTGACAGCCAACGACCTCCGCACCCACCACCCACCGCCCACCGCCCAGCTCCACACCCTCCACGAAGGACAGGCAGTCGTCATCAGCTGAACCGCAGCGTAAACATTGCGGCTGCCTCAATGGACCTCGCGAGGACTCGAGTCCTGCCCCGTGTCCTTTCTCCCTCCTGCTGACCATTTGACCAGTGCATTTCCCCCGAGGCCAGGACAAACACTTTGCCGCACTCAGCACTCTTCCTCGGGTTCCCCATTTCTCAGCTGAAGACGAAGTTCACTCAGCGGTTCTAGTGGATTGTGCCTCAATTCTTGAAGACTTTAGTTTCAGACTTGATTAATCATTGCGCCATTTTCCCATTGTACCTCTGTTAAAAATACTTTCATAATTCCTAAGCAAGGATTAGGTAATTCATTTTATTATCTATAACTCTGCAACTCTTTTAGCGCTTTGCTCATCCCCATTTTCAGTAACATTCGTCACGCCCGAATTGCTGTTTGAAAAAGGATACAAAAATGAAAACCAGAAATTTTTATGATTTTTCTATGCAAATTTCCTACTTTATTTCTTCTTGTTTTCGAACTTTTTCATGTGCCGCGCAGGTGGCTGATTTAATTTTATTTTATAGACTGAACAATATTTCCTTTTTTATAAATATATAAACCTGTGCTTGAAATTTAAGGAAAATCTCAATTAGATCCGTTTCACACAAATAGCATAGGAAAAACTCAACGACCTGTAGGCATTTTATGCTATTAATTGCAATACTTTAAGGGAAGTGCGTGTCGAAATGCTTATTCGAACATTTTTAATGCAAATGGAGATACAGATAAGCGTTC